TCAGTACAAAGTCTATGCAATGAAACACAATAAGCTGGAGATCATTGGGGCAATGGATTTGATGAGTTAAAATACTGCAATTAGTCTAATTATAATTAAATTGGATTTTGAAAAATAAACAGGTTCCATGTGGCCGATATCCATTAGCACCTAGTTTCATGTTCGAATTCCAGTTTGCAATGCGAACCTTGGCCTGTTTATTTTTCAGTTTTTTATACATCTCTGCATTTATCCCGGCTTGGCACGAGCTATCAACAATTATCAATATTAAATTTTCAGAACGGTTTTCTAGCCGTGAAGAGAAAAGTCATTCTTCTAAAATTTATTCTTTTGTTCCATACAAGGCAACATTTTTGATGGTAACTCAATTTTGATGGTAACACGAGATATCGCTCAAAATTGGCTGAGATTCTCGTTTCGTCGTCATAAAGCTTCCTTGTCGTCATAGTCCGATGGTAATACTCTTCAAATACTACATTTGAAATGTGACGCGAATTGATTTGACACTCGAGACTGGAGTCTCGAGTAGATGAGTGGCATAAAGATTACCATCCAAAATATTTTTGCTATTTTCTATGGACATTTTGCGACCATTCAACGCGAATATATCAAAACATTCCATAAATTATTTGATTCCAATAAATCGAAAATATGATTTTATTTCCGCCATAATAATAATAATAAGACGTACTTTCTATATTAAACCATTAAAATCCAGCGGAACTTAGAGTGGGTAATCAAACTGCTTAGAACCAAAGGTACTTGACAAGTATTCACGATTAATGTGTTTTCTTTTTGTTTCTATTGTTTAAAAACATTTTATCGTCAATAATGAAACGTGTCTCAAATTCAAGCGCAAAGCGCACATGCTACGTCGTTCATATTTGATCAATTTATTGTATCATGATCAGTAATTTATACCTACGTATATTTTTTCTGCTTCATTTGCAATAGTGTGAAATATGGAATAGGAATAGCAAATGTATCTGCGATTGTTTCCATTTTAAAATTGGATGGCCATAGTGAGAACCTTTCAAATGTTGCTTGTGCAAAAATGAGTAGCTTTTAGCTCACATGTAACTTGACCAAACTTCGATTTTTCTGAAACAAAACCTTCAAATTTAATGGGAACTCTCTACAAATTTGTCATTCGTACTTTTGGATCAATTTGAATGGTATACCTTATTTATGATCGATGTTGCGAAGGGGTTATTTCATAGGCTTCCACCCAAATTGTCCTTTGTACACACAAATTTTATGCCATTTTTCACTTTTTGTGATTCCATACAAGTCATCAAAAACCATACAAATTGGTGTTAGTATAATAATAGTATCAGTAAGTCTTATCGAACGTGAATAATTCGATAATGTGATAAATGGAATGACCTTATCTTTGAATTCATACCAATAGATTGGGTTATCTAGTTCGGTTAAACGTCAATTGACGTCGAAATTGAAAATATCTTTTGCGTGTATCACACTAGTTCTACAATTGGCGAGCATGGCTGATGACTAGTGGCCACGATCATTTTAAGTGCAAGGGAAACACAATAATAAATCGTTCAATATTGTGTGAATAAAATTATTGATACTGTTCAATAGTTAACCTTATCAACAATTTCGTGAATAAAAATCTACGTATGTAGGGCTCGTGGATCCCCGATTAATGTCAGATAATCGGTAAAATTTATGATTTAAGTTCGCTCAACGTTATTAGATTAAAAAGGTGTCAAACGGTGTTGCGGTTCATTTCACTGCGGTTAACGACGTCTGTTGTGTCTGCTCAATCAGAAATCGTTGCAAACAACAATTTTCTTACAAAAAATTAAACAAAATGAAGGAAATAATTCTGTTGGTTGTTTTCACATTGGGTAATTTTTTTGATATTATACAAAAGGTTGAAATGGAAATAATACTTTTTTCATACATATATCTTTTGACAGCAACTTCAGCCATGGATATAGAACAACCAAAAACATTTTTTGACGTGCAAAATGATGTGGAAATTAATTTATATACATTGAAAAATCCAACGGAACCTCAAATTCTTGTGATAAACGATACAAATTCGATTGAAGAATCCCATTTCAATCGTAATGTTCCAACGAGAATTTTTATCCATGGTTTTCAATCAAAAGGAGAGCTCAAAACTAGTTTGACTGGAGGTAATTACATAGCCACGAAGATCAACCACAGAAGAGTCTGCCGTAATACAGTTTTTTTCGTATTATTTTCCAGCATATTTTCTAAAGGGAAAGAAGAATGTCAATTTAATCGGGGTGAATTGGGAGAAAGCGTCAAGAACATTCAATTATTTGGCTGCATCTCGTTATGTGGAAAAAATCGGAACTCGTGCCGCCGAGTTTGTGGATTTTATGGTAAGGAGTAGCCACTGTGACGAATGAGTTGAATATATTCGTGTTTTGGTGTACATGTTCGAAAATGGCAAATTGTGTATTACATAATTATGTTCGACCAATTCATGTCTCTCTATCCCTTTAAATTTTATTTTTAGGTTGACAACAAAATCATCAAATTAACTGATCTCACTGTAATCGGATTTAGCTTAGGTAAACATTTTCTACTTTTCAATTTTTGTATATATTTATTTAATTAATTATTTATTCATTTACAGGTGCACATATTGCTGGCATTAGTAAGTTATCAATCAAAAATACTATTCAGTATTGCGAATTAGTAAAAAAAAAAACAATGAAATTTTAAGCCGGGAAGAGAGTGCGATCAGGCAAAATCCCCAAAATTGTCGGTTTAGATCCAGCCAAACCGTTGTTTTCTTTGGATAAACCAGACGAGCGGCTCGATAGTAACGATGCGATCCATGTGGAAACCATTCATACGAGCAAATTGGGCTTTTTCGATCCACTAGGAATTGTTAGCTTTTATCCAAATGGCGGTCGATCACAGCCTGGATGTACTTGGGATATCGTTAGATCTTTTTTTTTTTAATTACTTCGAATCGTATTTCAATTGAACCTTATATT